GAGGGTTTCAGGAAACAATTTTACCTAATAAAAGAAACATGCAAATTAACCATCACTCTGCTACGCCCACAGCCAATCAGAGTGAGTATGCAAATTAGTCCAACAAAGATGAAAGTTAGTTTGCATATACAGGTGGAGCAGAATGAAGCCTGCTATGAGGGGAAGTGGGGCAGCGAGGGAGCTACTGGAGTGGTGTTCCAGATAGAAGCAAGGACTTACCAGCTCTGAGCAGCCCCGGCGCAGGGAGGTGCCAGCTCCCAGGCAGCTGGGAGTGAAGCCAGGGGAAGGAAGGCCTATCCTTGCACGAATATTGTGCAATGGGCCTCTAGTTAATAAATAAGTAATAATACAAGAATAAACTGTTTCACATAATCACAGTTATAGCCCTACTTTTGCCCACCCATGAATGAACAATGTAAGAAGAGTGGGTTTTTCTCTCTCAAGGACTACTCACATTTGACTTCTCATATCTTCATAAGACATTATTAGATCACTTTTATTTCAAGTGATGGACTAAAGTTATCAGCATACGGCATAAAGACTAAATTTTTCAGAGCAATGGAATGAGAACTACATAGGAGAGAATGGAAATTCCCACCGCATTGGTCCACACACTTTCAACCACAAATACTGTAAATCTATTGGACATGTCACTGTCACTCTCTCGGTTGTTGTACTGGTTAAAGTAGAGTTATATCATTTCTGTTCCTTCTCTTTGTCACTATGACCATCAACCTCTCTTTAGGGCCCTTGAGATCCACACCTTAGCTTTTGATCAGGAAATAAGAAAGCCTTTTTCTCCCCCACATTTCCAGGCCTCCCTACTCATTCCAAAACTGAATTACTAAGGCAAAGGGACTCATGACCTCTATGATGTTTAATGATCAATCCCATGCTTACCAACTGATGGGAATTGTCTGGATGTCTGCCTGTCAATTCCCAGCTGTCATAATCAATAGAGGAACTTCGTAAATTCCATGCAGCCATCTCCGGCTGGGGTCATATTTGAAATGAGAAGGCTGTTTGGGAGGTGTGGGGTGGGGTAAATTAAAGGAAGATCCCTTTGTTTTCTAAATCTTTGGTAAAATTGAGTGGGCTATGTATACATATAAATGTACTATATAATTTTAACTTAAGGTAGGGGAAGCATTTTGGAGCCATTGGAGCAGATTAACAAATAGTATTTGTATACACGTAACTAAAACAGTAATTTATCAGGTAGATGGCAAATGGGGGGAATGAAATGCCAACCTGTGTCTACAGTTGGGTTGCATTGATGATGAAGTGCTGTTTATTCAGGGCCAGCCCAGCTTGTCAGCAACACAAGAGCCACAGCAGCACATGACTCCCTGCGTAGCTAGAAGACAATAATAAATTATCTCCTATGCAAACAGCACCGGCATAAAAAGCAGAACAAACAGCCTCTGCCTCCCGGATTCCTGAAGATTCTCACTCATTCCCTTGTTTGATTCGGTTTTAAACATGCAACTCCTGGCATTATGCTGATGACAGTAAGATGGAAACTGGTTTGGACAATTTTATTAGGGTAGGTAGGACAAGGTTGTTGATGATCTCTGGGGGTTACTATAAAACTTAAGTATTTTGTTTCTTTGACATGCTTGAATGAGTCCCAGAAATCTTGGTTTCATTAATACTTCTTCTGATCCTGTGGAATTTGGGGCTACCCAGAGGAAAAACTGGGAGGGTGTTACTCAAGAATGTTTGCACCTAAGAATCACTTGTGGTACATAATGAAATACAGATTCTTGAGTTAGTGCTCAACCTGCTATATAAGAAAATGCAAAGCAGCTCAGAACTACACACTCCAGGATGATTTTTATGATGAGGACAGTGTGAGGAGCAAGGGCTTGAGGGTGTGAGGCAGTAAGCCCTCATTCAGCATTGAGATAACCCAAAGGCCTGCTTCATAGGAAAATATATCAATTAACAAATACCGCCCTAGAGCAGTGCTTTTCAGACTTCCATGTGCGTCACATCACCTGGGATTTGTGGAAAAAGCAGATTCTTCATTAGATCTGGGGCGTGGCCTGAGACTCTGCCCTGGACTTGAGTCCAGCAAGACCCTAGAGCTGACATTTTAACACAGAAGAATCCCAATAGATTGGAGCTCAGCCAACATCTTGGAATAGCAATTGTTCCACTTGTATGGTTTCGAATAATGCTGATTCTACTAAATCCTAATCTTGCCCTCAGATACCAGTAAAATCTGCTCTCTCTTATTTGAGTGATCCATTGGGAGTGTCATGATCATTTTATTATATCTCAGACTCTCTTAGAAATGTTGTGTCTTCTTTCAGGAGTTTATAAACGCATTTTGGGGTTTTATGTACATAATTTAAAAATATTTTGAAAGATCCTGGCCACTGTTGCTAAGTTGTTAGGGCACTTGCCCATACACCAAAGGGTCACAGGTTTGATTCCTGGTCAAGGGCACGTAGCTGTGTTGCAGATTCAATCCCTGCCCCTGGTTGTGTGTGTGTGCGAGGCACCCAATTGATGTGTCTTTCTTACATTGATGTTTATCTCTCTCCTTTCCTTTCTTTCTCCTTTTCCTCCTACTCTCCTTTCTTCCCTTCCAATCTCTAAAAATATACATATATATTTTAAAAGAACAGTATAGAGCTTTTTGTGCTAAAGCCTTCAGTCACTGGAGATAAAATATATGTAGCTACTGTCCATTCTTGTCTTCCTTTGGAACCATATCTGGCAGAAAGTTCAGTATTGAGGCTCTTGATGGGTAATACCAAAGGTTATTTGAAATAATTTTATCTATTGAGTGCACTTGTATAATCTGAGGTCTATTTTTTTAAGTTTATTCCAAATATCTACTTTTATTGTGAGTGAATTAATTTTTTAAGTTAAGTTTAAAAAATGTTAATATGACCCTTGGACAATAAATAAAAAGCATCAAAGCTGACAGTAGGCATTTTGAAACACATGCTTCCAAAGCTAGTATATTTGAACATCATAAATTGCATTAGCAAGTCAGTACAGTAGACCCTTAGAATTCATCAGCATTATATTCTGAGGCCTTTGTGAATTCCTATGTGCAATTCCTTGTAACCAAAAAGTGAATGAAAGTGGCCTTGTGAGATGCCTAATAAAAGTGGATGCTGCAGGAGTAAAAAACAAAGGCCCCTTGAGGTGTGGAAGCTGGTGATGAGCTGAGCCCACAGATCTCCAAGTGTCCCTTTAACCTCTTAGGGACTCAGAGACCTTGAGAGCGAACTCAGTAGAATTAGAGTACATGTGATGTGGATATTTTAAATAGTCTAGAAAATAGTCTAAGCCACAAACCTCATATCCACACGTTTCAAAGAGCTACAACATGCAAACATTAATCTGGGCATGAACAAATCTGCACCTATATGCACTGTGTTATTAAGCTGGTTATCTGAGGAGGGGGTATGTGGTACTTGCACTTTGTGTGGAATACATTTTTGTATTGCTTTAATACTTTACCAGGGGCATGCATAATTCTGATGACTTTTGTCATCAGGAAAAAAAATTAATAGAATTCTTTATCTATCTTGAGTGCATTATTATGGTGATTTTCATTAAGTAGCACAATACAGTGTCAGTTGATTGATTATATATGACTAGAGGCCCGATGCATGAAAATTCATGCACTAGAGTGGAGGAAGTCCCTCAGCCTGACCTGCCCCTCTCACAGTCCAGGAACCCGTAGGGGAAGGAGGCGGTTTGGCAATCAGGAGAAGACGATGCCCCATCACACCTCTGCTGCTGCCAGTGCCAGCAGCCCAAGCCTCGGCTAGCCCTGATTACTTGAGCCTCAGGCGGCCCTGGGCAGCTGGGCAGCTACCATCCGAGGCTTGCCTGTGCCTCAGGCTGGCCCTAGGCAGCTGGAAGGCTGAGGGGACTGGAGGACTCTGGAGGCAGGCTCGTGGAGCAGCAGGCCCAACTATGCTGTGCACCTGCCACCCTGGCGGGGCTGAGGGGACTGGGCACCACCACCTTGTGGCTGTGGGTGTAGCCATCTTTGAGGGAGTGGCAGTCAATTAGCATATTCCCTCCTTATTGGCTATGGGTGCCACCATCTTTGAGGGCATGGCTGTCAATTAGCATATTCCCTCCTTATTGGCTGTGGGCGTGAAGGTCTTTGCTATAGAGTGAAGGTCAATTAACATATTCCCTCTTTATTAGATAGGATGATTATATATATGCCACATATACACTGTGTGTATATCTTTGCTATAGAGTGAAGGTCAATTAACATATTTCCTCTTTATTAGATAGGATAATTATATATATGCCACATATACACTGTGATGAGGATTATGTAGCACAGATTGATTTTGTATATGTGTCTCTCCATTCAATAGACCTTTCTTGAGCCACTAGTATATGCCAAGCATTGGTCTTCACTGTATTTCTTTAAGAAAAAGAGACACCCAGCAAAGTGGTTCTCATTGTAGTTAGTAAAACTTGAAAAGGCCAGCACACTTTCTGAGGAGGTGAGTCATAGGTCTGGGTACTTCATGGCAGCAGTTGACTTTTCTGCAGTTATTCATTTCTCCTTATTACCACATAGAACAAGCAGATCTGACATCACAGCCTTTACACAAATCTTCCAGACATCTACTGAATACATGTGTATAAGAGGTCCGATTAAAAAAAAAAGGGGGGGGGAGGAGGGGGTTAAAAAGCATTCAGTAAACTCAGCTAGGTTCATCCTTATGAGTTCTGCTTGAAGATAATAAGGTATCTATTTCTTATCTAAACTATTCTTAATCATAATGGCAAAGGCTCCTTCCTTTCTTGGTTTTAGGAAAACAAACAAGCAAGGTACGTCTTAAGCCATCAAATGCAACTTTCCAAACTTCCTTGAAGTGTTTATTTCACTTGTATCTAATAATATATCTCTGTCGCAATCCATCATAGGACTGGACAAATTTGTGGCAAACCGCCCAAAGCTGAGCAGTTTGACATTAATATCAAATTTCCTAATGTTGTTTCAGAACTGTGTGTTTCATGGCAATATCACCAGTGATCTGAAAGCATTTGCAGACAAGTTCGGTTTTGATGTCCTCATCCTCCTGGCCAGCTATCTGTCAGAGGAGCAGCAGCCAAGACAACAGATTGCTGTGTACTCCGAGAACCTAGAGCTGAGCAGTCAGGTAAGATCTCCTCCAACCCTGGTACGTTTCACTGCATCCTGACCTGCTTGCTCTCAGAACAGGTGGTGGAGGATGGGAATGGATTGGTGGCATAAGGAAAAGGGCCCAAGAGAAAAAGTCCTGGAGTTTGAGTTTTAAGAATTGGGGTTATTTTGTATAGTGGGCCTTTTAAAAGAACCCTATAACCATCGCTTTCATATCCAAATGAGGGCCAGTCTTCCTTTGGGAGCTGTTTTCTTAGTCCCCTTCTGAATGCCTGTTTGGTGTCCAGTGTTGAGTAACTGTGGATCTGATGCTTTAATCAAAGTTAGCCTCCAGGCACTAGAATTTTGACTGGGTAATCAGTTGGACCCTCTCGGTTGAGAGCTGAATTTTATAAGGTAGGCCTGTGGAAATTATATAAAATGTAGACAAAATTAATCAAAATACCATACCAGGTATATTTAATAAGTAATATGAGAGCATACATGATTCATTATAATAAGGACTCCATGGCCTAGAATGAGTTCACCAACGAGTCTTTCCTCACTAATGAATTAGACACTTCTTGAATCCACAGGTGGCAAGGGGCAAGTCTCGACTTTTCTGCATCCTCACTTTCAGTTCCCTAAGAGACCTCTCTGGTCTTTCTTGACTCTAAGGCTGCTCTGTGCTTTCTCGTGTCCAAATATGAAAGAGGCTCATGTCCCTGTTACAGACGCATTTAGTACCCTCTTTCTGACCCAGACTGTGCATTGTGTCATCAGCCTGAGGCCTCAGTGCTTTGCTCTGCCTTCGGTTTCAGAGCTGAATCTTATTTTCCCATGGACAGGAGTTAGGTCTCCTCAGCCTTCAGTATGGAGGTTTTTCACCTGACATTTAGTAGCAAATCAATTTTTTAAAGGTTAATTTAAAAAAGACCAACATAGAAGAGCCGATGAAGCCCTTGCCGCCTCCACCCCACCTCTCCTTTCCTCACTCAGCCTCCCGACCAGAGACAGCTCTTTGGAGCCTGGTCCAATACAGGGTCAGGACTACTCACTCCTAAGGAATCCCTCTTTGTTCCTGTGGTCATTGTTAGGCAAAGGTCAGCATCTGCAGCTCGACTGTCTGAGTTCAAAATGTGGCTCCTTCCCTTGTTAGCTGCTTGTGGTTGGTCCAGGTATTTCATCTTCTTGGCTCTCAGTTTACTCATTGTCAAAATGAGGATGAAGAGTCCTACCTTATAGAATTGTCATGAAGATTAAAGGAGATAATGCACATAAAACCTTTAGAACTGGACTCGGCGTATGAAAACATTCAATTATTACCTATGCAAGCTCTGTAGTTACTTATGATTATTGTTCTTGCTTCTGCTGCTGCTGATGTTGTTACCTTCACTAATCCTGTGGGACCATTTCAAAAGCCCCATGTGAAAATATCCCAACACTTCCTAAAAACCAGGGAGCTTTCCCACTGGTCCTTGTCAGCAACGAGCATTCAATTTCTGTGTGTTATTTTTCAAATTTGAAAAAAAAGTTTGCCCTTTTTTTCACACTTTCACTTCTGTTGGAAGATGATGTTATATTACACTGAGGAAAGGATTTAAATGGTTTTAGATCTCTTTTCCTATAACTCTTAGAAGCCGGCAAAAGTGAGCCCCTGTGTTTTAAGTTCAATGAAAAGCCAGTTTGTTAGGATTAGAGAAAGAGTTGGTGGTCTGTTTGGTGGAACTTCCCATGCAACATACAGTTTTGTTATTTGCATTCTTCTTTAAAGACAGGTAAACATGAATTAATTTTTTTGTTAAGAAACATTAAGAAAGGGGAATTGCAAAGAGCAGAGAGTACCTTCGTGCTCATGTGAACCCCTGTGTCTCCCTGACAGATTTGCTGTGAGCTGGAAGAGTGTCAGAATCTTTGCCTAGAGCTGGAGCCCTTTGAATGTGGCTGTGATGAGATCCTGGTGTACCAGCAGGAGAACCCTGCAGTGACGTGTGACCAGGTGGTCCTCCTTGTTAAGGAAGTCATCAATAGGAGGTGTCCAGAGATGATGTCCAACAGCAGGACATCTTCCACCGAAGCTGTGGCAGGCAGCGCCCCCCTCTCCCAGGGGTCGTCTGGGATTATGGAGCTGTATGGCTCTGACATAGAGCCACAGCCCAACTCTGTGAATTTCATAGAAAACCCTCCAGATCTCAACGATTCTAACCAGGCCCCGGTGGATGCCAACACAGACCTCGTTAGCCCAGACAGCGGGCTGGCCACCATAAGGAGCAGCCGTTCATCCAAGGAGAGCTCGGTTTTCCTCAGCGACGACAGTCCGGTGGGAGAAGGTGCCGGGCCTCACCATAGCCTCCTCCCAGGGTTCGATTCCTACAGTCCCATCCCTGAAGGGGCAGTGGTGGAGGAGCATGCCCTGTCCAGAGGACATGGGGAACACTTCGACCTCTTCAGCTTTGATCCAACACCCATGGTTTCTGGACAGTCCCAACCATCTTCCCATTCGGCTGACTACTCCCCATCCGATGACTTCTTCCCCAACAGCGACTCGTCAGAAGGACAGCTCCCCTTGGGGCCTAAAGAGCTCATTGGGATGGGGATGAATATGTCTAATTATTCATCCAGCTCGCTTTTGTCAGAGCCCGGCAAAGATAACCTCGTGGAATTTGATGAGGAGTTTGTCCAGCAACAAGAAAGCCCCCTCGGGGATAACTCTCAAGGAAATTTGAGCCTCACAGACTTTGTGGGAGAGGAATCTCTCTCTCCTGAAAAGGGAATCCCACCAACACCTATGAATAGCTTTGTGGAAAGCTCCCCATCCACTGACGACCCAGCTCTACCCTGTTCAGAAGACATGGCCCCAAAAACAGTCGACGCGGGTCACTCGGGGCCACCTCAGCCCCGTGTGCGGTGCCGCAGCTGGTGGGGTGGCTTGGAAATTGACTCTAAAACGATTGCAGATGCGTGGAGCTCCAGTGAACAGGAGTCCGTCTTCCAGAGCCCTGAGTCCTGGAAAGATCATAAGCCAAGCCCAGTGGATAGGAGAGCCTCTGATTCTATGTTTCAATCAAAGAGTCTCGAATGCTCAAAGCCAGATCCCTGGGAGTCAGAATTTGGTCAGCCTGGGCTGGGCAATGAGAATATCCAAGACCAACAGGAGGAAAGCTTGCAATTTGAGAACCTGCCCACTGAGAAGTCGCATTTGCCAGACGCTTCTCCTCAAGGGACAAACCATCTGATAGAGGACTTTGCTGCCCTATGGCGCTCAGATCGCTCCCCCACAGCAATGCCCGAGCCGTGGGGCAATCCCATGGATGGCGGTGAACCAACTGCCACAGTGTCATTCCCAGCCTGGGGTGCATTTGGGAAAGAAAATGACACCAAGGGCTTAAAAAATACCTGGAATCTGCACCCAATGAGTGGGGAGACACCTTCTGTGAGAGACCCGAATGAATGGGTTGTGACAAAAAGTGGATATTCTTTTCCTGCAGAAGACCTGGCAGACAGATCGCCCAGTGAGGCAAGCAATGAAGCAGCTCCAGAAATCTGGGGCCAAAAGTCAGCCCATGACTCCAGGGCTGACATCCTCATACCTGGAAACCCCAGGTCTGACCCAGAGCATGCATGGAATAGCCCTAAGCCCACCAAGGAAGATCAGGATGGTGGCGTGGATCCAAAAGTGAGGGGGAAAGTCTATGAAAAGGTAGATTCGTGGAACCTTTTTGAGGAGAGTATCAGGAAGAGAGGGTCAGACATCCTAGCTCCTTGGGAAGATTCCTTCCTGTCATATGAATGTTCCGATTACAGTGCCTCCAACATAGGGGAAGATTCGGTGCCTTCCCCTTTAGATACCAACTATTCCACCTCCGATTCCTATACATCACCGACATTTGCTGGAGATGAAAAAGAAATGGAAAATAAGCCCCTTACTCATGAGGGAGGTTTTGAGTCAAAAGATGCTAACTCTGCCACGGAAGAGGCTGAAATCCCTCCTCAGTCACCACTGCAGCCGCCCAGACATCGAATTAGCTCAGATCCCGGGAACCTAGAAATGTGGGCTCCACCTCACGCAGACACTAGTTCTGAAAGAAATGCCACTCACAACCCAGAGGAAGATGTACTCAGGACAGAGCCCACAGATGACAAGGACATCTCCGTGGAGGAGGAGGTTGGGGAGAGCAGCCAGTCCAGTTACGACGACCCCAGCATGATGCAGCTGTACAATGAAACCAACCGGCAGCTCACGCTCCTGCACAGCAGCACCAACTCCAAGCAGGCGGCTCCCGACAACCTCGACTTGTGGAACAGAGTGATCCTGGAGGACACTCAGTCCACTGCCACCATCTCGGATAACGATTTGGACTGGGATGACTGCAGCGCAGGGGTGGTGATCCCTGGTGAAGGTCAAGCACAAGGACTCACAGCGGAAGGCACCGAGCCCGAAACCCGGTTTTCAGTGAGACAGCTAGAACCGTGGGGCATGGAGTATCAGGAAGCGACGCAGGCAGACTGGGGACTCCCTGCTTCTTACGAGCATAGCAAGGACGCCACTCCCAATAAACATCATGAGCTGAATGAAAAGAGCGGGCAGCTCATTGCAAATAGTATTTGGGATTCTGTCATGAGAGATAACGACATGTCATCATTAATGCTATCAGGCCCGGCGAATGTTACAGATTCAGAACAAAGCAGAGTGCCTCCCGAAACTCCCAGCTCAGAAAAAATTAAGGGCAGTACCATTCCAGATGTGCTAGAAGCCTCTGGAGCCAGTGAGTCAGGAGCACTTGGTCCAGACCAGGAAAACACATGCAGAGGAAACCTGCCAGGTGATACAGTGGTGTCTCTAGCAACCAGGCTGGAGAATCCAGGGCATGTTGTATGCTCAGATCCATGGAAAGGTCCTCACTATGGACAAAGTGAGAATGAAACAGAAACCTACAGAGCTGTTGATAGGGAGCACCTGAGCGAGGAGGAAGTGATGGATGGAGCCTCGGGAACTTCTGGAAAAGGGCAAGGTGACCAGGAATGCTGTCCCCTAGTTGTATCTGAACGTGAAGAAATCTGCAATGAGTCAAGCAAAATCAGCTCTCCTTCAGTCACTTCAAGTCCTCAAACTGAGGAATCCCAGGAGGCTTTAGAGCATGAGAAGGGATCTTACGATTCAGACCCCTGTGATGTGCAAACTGAGGTGTCCACAAACCACTTACAGGCAAAGGAGACCTGTGAAAAGCATCTCGAGAATCACAGAAATTCAGGTGAAACTACTGACATTCCAGAGAAGCTGACTTTAACAAAAAATGTATCTTTACCTGAAATGAATCTTGAGATAACTGAAGAATGTAACATTCTGGAGCCAGAGAGAGTAAACCAAGAGCCACCACCTGCATGTCCCCAAAGCCTTGATGTTTGGGATGGCCCTACAGACAGTGATGTGCAAGTCAGTTGCACAAGTTCTGAGATAACTACTTACCTTGAAGGTAAGAGTGCTGAAAACAGCCCTCCAGGAGCCATTTCTTCAGAAAATTATGACAGAGAGAGTGTTTCTAGTGAGTATTCACATTCCAGTGCATCAAGTCCTGACCTCAATGATTCTTCAGCTGCACAGCTTTCTTGGGATCATGAACCCAATACTGGGCGTCAGAAGGAGACTCAAGATGACTGGAGTAAACAGAATCACCAAGAATCCGGACTCATTACTACTGGTGGCCAAGTGGAAGTAATTACCGAGATGAAGGACCTGGAGAAAAACAGAATGGACAAGTTTGAAAGGAGCTTAGGTCAAAAGGTTCCTACATATTTAGAGATATGGAATGACTCAATAGATGGTGATTCCTTTTCCTCTCTATCCAGCCCTGAAACAGGCAAATATTCTGAATATTCAGGTGCATATCAGGAAAGAAATCTAGTGGTTAGCCACCAGGAGAAAAATGAACATAATATTCCTGACGCTGTGCAGACAGAGGATGCCAAGTTCATGTCATCAAGCTCAGGTTCCGACGATGATAGCATAGGCGATGAGGAGTCAGTAGAGGAAGAGAACCATTTGGTCACTTGCCAGGTTGCTCAGAGCGAACCCAGAGCTTGGGACTCATCAAATGAATCTAAGTTCTTGGACATGGACAATCCCAAGTCTGAGGAGTTATCTGCCTATGCAGGCAATTCAGGACCAGCAGAGAATGAGAACACATCAGACCCATTCTATGACAATCCACAAAGCAGTGCTGATCACTCTAATTTCTCACCACTAAAGGAGACTGAAACACAGATGATAGCAGTAGATAAGGAGACAAGATCCCCAGAAACAGGGACAGGAAATATCATATGGCAAATATCTCCCAAAACTGAACCAAAGAATGAAAACAATTCTAAACTAGAAATGCTTGACTTCCCAGCTGAGAGCACTGAGTGGTGGAATGCATCTCTTCAGGAAGGGCAACCAATTGAGAGAGCATTTGAGGGGGAGCTGTCTAACTCAGGTGGTATGTTAGAGATGAATTCTTCAGTATACCAACACATTGGTCCCTGGGGCATTCCCATTCAGGGTGATATGGAATCCATGGACACACATTGTACTAATCCTTTCAGTGATGAACATCAGTCACCCTTTCTGGATAATAATGTGGAAAACTCCCATGAACAACTTTGGAACATTCAACCACGGCAGCCAGATCCAGAAGCTGATCAGCTTAGCCAACTTGTAATATTGGACCAGGTTAAAGAAAAGGATCCCGGAGAGCAAACTTTCATGTCTTCTGCTAATGACAAACTCACTTCTGAAACACCTAGCCAAGAGCAGTGTCATGATACAGTGCTGTCTGTCTGGGATCAGCCAGACCCAGCATTTACTCACATAGATGAAAATAGATCTGTTACATCTAATGTCTCAACTATTGCATGTCAAGAAACAAATTGGTGGGAGGAAGAAAAATCGTACCCCAGTAAAATGACAAATTCAATCATTGCCTCCAAAGATTCCCCTGCTGTCAGTTCTTCTACCCAGTTGATAAAGAAGGCAGGAGCTGAATGGGATGGCTCTACCCCTAGTGAGGGCCCCCAAAGCACGTTTGTTCCAGATATCTTACATGACAATTTTCAAGAGAGTGGGCAGTTGGCCTCAGCTTCACCTGACTTGTGGGTGGATGCTAAGCAGCCCTTCAGTTTGAAAGCAGATGGTGAGAATCCTGACATACTGACTCACTGTGACCAGGACAGCAATTCTCAGGCTTCCAACAGCCCTGATATTTGCCATGATCGTGAAGCCACGCAAGAGACTGGGCAGTACATCAGTGCTAGGATGGAACCTGAAGAGGAAGCCAATGAGTTATATCTCACCGAGCCAAAGCTGGATGAAGGGCCCAATCATGAGCCTGGGCAGGAATTTGTCCCATACAGTTCAGAACCATGTTCTGAAAACAAAATTCCACTGCCTCCCACAAGCGACCAAGAGAACACAAATGGCTCATCTCAGCCTGCCATCTCTCCTAGTGGTTCTCCCGAACCTTCTGAAATAAATGATGAGAACGACACCAGTTTAAAAGCATCAGAAGAAGGAGCCGACCCCGAGACGGCACCAGTGTGGGAGCCCATAGACAGAACAATCCCAATGATGAAAAGGGTGGGAACCGCTATTTTTGTAACTCACCAAGAGCCAACTGTGGATGGCAACAGCTCTTGGATCTCAGAGGACTTTTCTCCTGAAAGTCAGACAGGGGAAGCAGCCTTGTTGGACCTCGGGCAGCCATTGACTGCTAAGGACCCTGCCTCAGTGCCCGACGCTCTGCTCATCTCGGACACGTGTCTGGATGTAAGCGAAGCTGCCTTTGAACACAGTTTCAGTGATGCCTCAGGTCTCAACACGTCCACGGGAACCATAGATGACATGAGTAAACTTACATTATCAGAAGGCAATACTGATACACCCGTAGATGGGGATGCTGGGAAGCAAGATATCTGTTCCTCTGAAGCCTCATGGGGTGATTTTGAATGTGATGTCATGGGCCAAAATATGGATGAAGATTTAATGAAAGAGCCTGAACACTTTCTCTATGGCGGTGACCACCCCATGGAAGAGGATGCTCTGAAGCAATCACTGACACCTTACACGCCTCCCTTTGATTTGTCCTACCTCACAGAACCTGCTGTGGGTATCAAAATGGCAGAGGAAGCTGGGACTCCAGAGGATAAGTCTGTGGGGAGTGAAGCAGGAGAGATATTGCTTTCCACTCTTCCTGATCAAAGAAGCAAGGAAAACCGCACTGAGACCCAAATCAGCCAACCTGGACACCAGCTGGTTGTACTGCATATTCATGAAGACCCCGAGTCAGTTTCTTTGCCTGTCAGAGGTGATTCCAACATGGAGTTGTCTCCATCAAACATTGACTGGGAAGTAGAAACGGATAATTCAGATTCACCAGCAGGTGGAGACATAGGACCATCAAACGGTAAGAAACATACCATCCCACCAACCCCAGAAACTGCTGCTTTCATTCAATTAACCCATTTGCAAAACATACTCTTCCTACTAATGTGGGTAAATGGGAACTGACTACATTTGCAAGGCATGCCTACCTAGCCAAATCCTATATTACAGCAGTAATATCTCCTGCTTGTATAATACCTACCTTTGAGAGTACGTGAGAAGATTAAACATTTTTTTTTTGGTATAAAGTATCTTTTTATTATGGTTTACATTCAATATTGCTTTGTATTGGTTTCAGGTGCACAGAATAGTGGCTAGACAATCCTATACAAAGTGTTCCTCTGGTATTTTCAGTACCCTCTTGGGACCATACAGAGTTATTACAATATTATTGACTATATTCCCTATGTTGTACTTTACATCCCTGTGACTATTCTGTAACTACCAGTCTACTTCTTAATCCCTTCACCCTTTGCACCCAGCCTCTCCGCTACCTCACCTCTGGCTGCCATCTGTTAGACAGATATTTCTCCAATTATCTCTCCTTAGATGGATCATTTGCAAAGATCACAAATCACATAATGTGCTAATTAAGCCTTGTTTCTCCCCCTTCTCACCTCATCTTCCACCTTTAGATGCCAGCAAGGGAATATTCAAGTTCGAAGCAGCAGCAGTAATTCCTACCCAAGAGCCTGAGCCGATAAAACCAGAATTTGGAGAAGAAAGGAACACGGAGAAGAATGAAGACCATCAGGCACACCACCTGGACTACATACTTGTAAACCATGAAGAAAATTCACCCCTAGAGCCAGAGGCCTTCGAAGCAAGAGAAAGCACATCGGAATCGGAAGAGTTTCACGTAAGTTCCAAACAAACGGGGCTGCCAGGAACTGAAGTAGCAAGCTACCCAGACATTTGTCTGTCTGACTCCTTAAGTGAAAGACAAGATCATTCTGCAGAAAGAATGTCTTCTGAAGATGATAAGAGACCATCTCTTGAAAGCCCTGGGCAAGAACAGAGTTGGATGATCTTGGGCCATAGTGAGGTTGGCAATCCATCGTCAGAAGCTACAGACGAAGGGTCTGACAGGGCTGTGGAGCCAGCCTCTGATCACAACTTGGGCATGAGTCCCCAAATGCAGGCTCTGGGAGAAACAAAGCCTCTAGAATCTGTAGCAATAGAGGAGGCCTCTGGTCTGTGCAGCCAATCTCAGAAGAGCAAGAGCGGAGGCAGGGCTGGCCCAGATACAGTTATGTTGCAGACTGTCGCCCATGACAATGAATGGGAAATGCTTTCACCACAGCCTTCACAGAAAAACATAATCCCTGTGACAGAAATGGAGGAGGAGACAGAGTTTCTTGAGCCCAGAACAAGGAAACCAAGACCAAATAGGTAAGCAAAAAAACTAAATTTACTTTCTTCCTGAAAATGATTTTATTGGAAACCAGGGAAATAGTGAGGGATGATGGGATATTAAGAATACCTGGTTTTGCTTATATTTATTGCAGAGCATGCCATCAATAAAAGTATCTGCTGGGTAGCCATAATGATAACCATGATTTGTATATATATTCAGCCAAAAAAAGCCCCTCAGTTTCCACCCAGAATCTTACACTTACCCTCCCAATATTTGTCCTGCTCAACATCAGTATCTGCCTTATACAGGCCATTGGAACCAGAGTGGGAAGGGCACTAGCATTTATTCATAGCACCAATCAGTTGCACAATTATCTTATTTAAATATCCTTACAGCAACCCCAAGATAGTAGGATTTATTCTCTTTATTTTACCCATACTGATGGCGGGAGGGGACTTAAGAATCAGAAAGATTCTCTGACTTGCCTAGAATTAAGTAACCAGCATAAACAGTACGGGGTGTTTTTGTTTTTTGTTTTACCCCCAAAGTCTATACATTCCAGCAGATACACAGAAAAGGTGATTCTGTGTTTTATACAAGTACTTAACTTCCTGGTGGGAATAAGGAGACTCTATAGCAAGCTTAAAGTCTTCGTGTAAAACCTCATTCCCTGATTGGCTGGAAAATTAACCATTAAACCAGCGATTCATTAATCATCTATGCACTCACCACACGGTATTTGGAAGCTGCTCTGTGCTGAGAGTCTGGTAACCATGGACATAGCAGGGAACAGGGTGCTGTCCCTGTCCCCCAGCTTCCAGGCCCTGCTGACACTGCTTAGAGTTGTTCGTGTTTCACTTTGTTTGCGCTCCTGCTTCCAGAGATAAAAGGGCAGATTGTGGAAAGTAACTTAAGTAAAAGGGTAACTCATGTTTCCCCCCTTAAAATGTAGTGGAAAAAACATATTTTTTTTTCTACTCATTTTGGGAGTATAAAGGAGTATACACATCACATAGCCTCTTGGGTCAAAGAATCTGGACTCCAGCTTGATGCTATCATGTCTGTTATGTATTTTAGGATAGCCCTAGGCTTAAGTCTCCAGTGGGTTGGGCTGGAGGATGTCCAGCCTCCCATCAGTAGTAAATCCTGCAAATTTAATTTGTGTGAGTAGCTACAAAACCTCCAGGAGAGCTTGGTATTCAAAAATTATGTTTCTCCAGGAAGGAAGGGAACGGAGAACACACAGAATAGCAGGGGTATGTTGAGGCTTAGTCAAAGCCAATAAAGAGTTAAACGCTGTGCCAGATCCAAGTGAAGCTTCATAAATCCAGCACTTCCAGTTGGTCTAATCTTTTTTTTTTTCTTCCTGTCAAGCTATTTCCTTCCAGAGACCCCCAAATCCGTTATCAGAAAGAGAGCAGCAGATGGATCCCAGCAGCCCTGCTGGCATTGTTATAGATTGAGCTAAGAACGCAGGCAGCCTAGAGTTGGCTGAGCTACTGTTTGGCTTCTTGTCTGCGTTTTGCACATGGCCCTGAAGTCAAACAGATGATAGAATTCCATTGTGCCACTTGCCCTGCTTCTTTCAGTAAGTTTTTTTTGTGCAGCCCTTTCTGCTCAGCTCCTGCCAGAATGAAAGTTGTCTCCCAGTTGGGAGAGGGGGCAAATTTTCCTGCTGGCATTTGTATTACCTGTTGCATAAATAATTTGCTTGGAGATATTTGTATTATTAAGAGTCTAGTGTTATTTCCAGCATTAATAGTAGTATGAAAAGATTAGTACTTGCAAACTTCGCTCTGTGCTAGATTCTGGAGGAGGCAGAATTGTCTGAAGCAGTGATTCTTTAGAAATACGCTGTGATATGACACACTAGCTACAAATTGGCTTCTTGCCCTTCGCTTGCTCATTCAAGCACAGCCCCGCCCAGCATTCACACTGTTTTGAGAGCAGTAAGCCCTATTTTCAAAACCTGAGGAAGATGAGGTGCTTTTTCTTCTCATCCTCCACCTACTAATTCTTTTTCACAAAACTTACTGTGAATGCTGAGAGAGAAACTCTCTCCTTTATGATTTTCAGCACAGGGTTCTAGTTCCCTATGTTCAGTCTTCCCAGAGGCTTTTGCCAACACCTTGGTCATCCCTCAGCTATAGTAGTTCCCCACCCCTCGTAACTCTCCCCCTCCCGTCCCAGCTCAGGATTGCTCACTAATTCCCGAGAGTGATGGATGAGCCAGAGTTTTCCTATGTGGTCACAGAGAACATCTGCAGAGGAATCAGTAGCACAGGGACTTACCTGAAAATTAAGAACCATTTGTATATGTTTATTTTAAAAAGAAGGCACTGTTCCAAGGATATCATAGGAAGAAGGGATACTTTGATTATATGTTAGTCAGGATTCTCCAGATAAGCAGAGCCAATAGGAGCAATAGGAGATCAGATAGATGATTGATAGACAGATAGATAGATAGATAGATAGATAGATAGATGAGATAGAAACTATTTCAAGGAATTGGAATTGGCTCACACAATTTTAGGGACTGAAATCTATAGGACATGCCATGGGCAAGGAATTCAGGCAAGAGTTCTCACAATCTTGAGTCTAAATTCTGCAGGGCAGTGGAGTCTCTGGGTTTCAGACTTGAGAAGAATTCCTTCTTTTTCAGGAACCTTCAGATTTTGCTCTTAAGGCCTTCAACTGATTAGATGAGGCCCACCCATGGTCTGGAGGATAATCTGCCTTACTCAAAGGCTGCTCGTTTCAACGTTAATCACATCTGAAGAATACCTTAATAGCAATGTTTAGGGTGGTGTTTGACCAGAGAACTGAGCACCATAGCCTAGCCAAGTAGACATGTAGCATTAATCATCACAGGTTATATTCAAAAGCCAGAACTACATGCTAAGCAGGTATGAAACCATTTGTAAACGCACCATCTGAATTATATAAAAATGAACAATTGATATACAAATATATTGGCATTCTATAGGTGTGGGCCAAAGAAATAATTTCCCAGAGGACTAAGAAAACTGACATTTCTCATCCAATCTTTTGTAGATACATGCAGCTGGGGGTGGTGGAGAGAGGGGGCAAAGGGGAGAGGGAAGGAATAGCTGTTGTCACATGTACCTCTGAAACAGTATTTGGCAACAACCTGATCCTATGTTTGTGGAGCTATATCTTGTCTCCTAGCTCTGAGAGGTGAGTTACATGGTACTCACTGAAATAAAAATCACCTTCAAACACAATATATTTCATATTCCACATGACCTGCTTCTTATGGTGATTTCTGTGCATTCTTTCTTTTTAAAATTAGTCAATTTTGAACTTTATTTCTGTGTGATGAGACTATGGGAAAGAATTCATATTCTTCCTTCTGACCCCATGTGGTCTCTGTGTTTCTCACAAAGTCCTCTAAAACCAGGCTTTTTCTGTCCAGGACTTCTGGGTGAGGTAAAGTTGGTACATTGGGTCTCACATCCAGTGAATGTTGAAAATGAAAAACAGGTAAAGCAATTATCCATTCCCTCTTTCTCTCAGTGTTGAGTGATGATGTTTGGGCGCTCAGAGAAGAATCGGGCTCTTTGAGCGGCCTCTGCCCCTTCTCGCGGTCCTGCTGTTTGCATGGGCTGTATCCCAGTTCCAAACATTTGCCCTTTCTCCGACGTAAGTTGATACTCCATAAACTACAGCAATCCCTTGTTTATTCACTAGTTATTGGCTTTGCCCTGAACTAAGCTGAGGAGACCAGACATGGCGCTGACCCTGCGTTCATTTATTTTTGTGATTGTGTTTGATTAGTTGGTGTATTTTGGTGAATTGGTGGTGATAATTACCATGAAAAGTCTTTAAGTTTGCACTTTAATTCAGACCTTAGTCTCCTCTTTTAAAAAAAAATAAAATTTATTTTTGGTGTCTCCCCCTTATCCCACCCCTATCCCCGCCACCTCTGCACATCTGGCCAGCCCAACCCAGACTTCCAATAAGTGCTTACCGGATAGACAAATATATTATTTCCTTTGGTCCACCCAATTGCCACTTGAGGTAGGGCGAGTTTTATTATCCCTGATTCATAAACTGATTTAAGCGAGCTGTTTAATGTCCTCCAGAAATGAGAAAGTGGTCAAGCTGGGGCTCGACCATAAGTCTTCTTCCTTCCAGCTCAGACACACAGGCCATAACAACCACGTCCTTTTACTTCTTTTATAGGTTGATGCATTTATTCCTGTTCTCCCATTTAAAGGCACATCAAGTCTAATAGCTCAAGTCCCCACTGAGATAGTTTGAGAATAACTGAGTCAGAACCTGGCTCTGACCCTTTACACTGTCCCGTGACCCTCTGTCGGTTCACCCACCCCTGCACAGACGGTTCCCACCACAGCAAATCCGTAAGAGCTGCTATCGTGTGTGGGCCGCTCCCCATCTGTGGTGTGTGAGGCCAACCTGAGTGGCTGGAGGCCAGAGGGACATGAGAGAAACAAAGCCCTTCAATGTGCATTTAAGTTTTTTCAAATATTTATAGATGTGGTATTTTGTGGTGAAGCATTTTATAGAAAGAGAAAGCCCCGGGCATGGAGACAAGGTACAACTCAGCTGTCCTGTGGGAGGGACTCCCACAGAGGAGCCCTTTTGTGTTGTGTTGGCTTCTAGTTCGAGGGGAAAATCCAAGGTACTTCTCTGGCTGGAATGGCAGAATGTCAAAACTAATATCAGAAAAAAAGACCTTCATGAAAATTGACAGCATTTTAGGAAACGGAGAAAGGGTGGCTTTTAAAAGCAGGATGTGTTCGTGTATCAGGGACCTAGCAGGAAAGAGATGGCACATTCAAATGAGGATAATCTAATAAATGTTTAATGAAAGGGGTATTTATAAAGATGGATGCAAAATGTGAGGAACCCACAGGAATAGTGCAGTAACTAATCCAGGAATAGCAATAGTAAGATGTTACCTTTCTTAGGCCTCAGGAGTGAGGGGAGAGGGTGATTACCACAAGAGGAATTTGGGGTTGAAAGGGCCACAGTGAGAGGAGTGGTGACC